TGAAGAATAATTGAATACAAATTTGCTGGGATCTTCTGGAAACTTGCTTCGTGTTTCTGTAGCTTTGAGACTTTTCAATAAGTTAGAATGGATGGCTTGTGTACGCTTCTCCGTAACCAGAGTGACATAGTCGGTAAATGCTTGTCGTTCATCACAAGACAATTCGTGTAACGCAGAGGAACGTTGCGCTATGTTCCTCTCGAGTTCTGGCACACGTGATATAATGGAATCAATATGGTTCAGGGTATGACGCTTGAGGGATTTCGAGTTCGGATAAATGTGATTGCGACGTAGAGCTTTCCAATACCACTTGGGATATTCATGATTATTCATACAGTCTCTGAGAAAACTAATCTTCGCATTAACTTCAGCAAGCTTGACAGAATATCGCAGAAACCCATTCAGTTCCTTCACTGTCAGAGGGTCCTTGCTTATTTTTAATTCGCGAAAAATACCCATTAAGACATTGAAATAAGAACAAATTAGTTCAGCGAAGAGTCTCTTTTCGGCGAATTCATTCTCTTAGCTGTACAGTCGCAAATATATACAATTAATTTTGTGTGTGTGTGTGTACATAAGCGTTGTCAAAATCAAAATCAAAATAACAGTTAGTGTGGGTTGTTGATTACGTCATCAAAATTATACGAATATTGCAAAAAAAAATGTGATAACAAAATGTTGATGACAGATGAACTTGAAATATTTTAGTCAATTATATTACATCATCTAACTTGCTTACACAATCTTACTTTAGTTGCTGTCTAATTAACCTTGTCTCTATATTAGATCATTCTTGTATTACCTGATTAAATTGTCTAAACTTGACCTCTTAATCTCACACACACACACAAATGATTATATATAAATGCGGTTGTACAGCTATAGGAATGAATTCGACGTCGAAAAGAGTCTCTTCCCTGAACGTCTTCTCATTTTGATATGACTAGATCGGAATTTTTAAGCTATGTAAAGTGGAATTATTTCAGTTGTAGGCTTTATCATATGGTGATATCATTCAGAAGAGAACTCGGAAAACTCTAGGGAGTACTGGACAGTATCAAGAGCCTACTGGAGATGGGACACAGGACCTTTTGATTACAAGGTAAGTTCACATACCATCCATTCTGTGGGACGCCATCTAACAACCAATGAATTCTAACTTCTTCTGACTCCTGATGTATATGGAGTGACCATCAGTCGATTTCATGAACACGTAAATGTCCTCATGCCAAGTCGAGTAGTGTCAACTGGTAACAACTTCTTCCTAGAAGGCAGTCACTTGCCTGTGACACTGGCTTATGGCTGCACTGTATACATTGGGAATTGGCAGAAGTTGGAATTCATCGGCTATTACATTGACTCCCAATGAATAAATTGTCTACGAGCTCACTTTGTAAACGCAAAGTTCTAGATCCGAATCCTAGTGGGTATATACTTCTAAAACAACGACGAAACAGATGTCTGCCCAGTAATCCTTGATTTTTTGATGGTTCTCTAACTGGTGTCAGCTTCTGATCAAACCCTTAAAAAGCGACATCCTTTTAAACCAACACTTGGGAATTATTCTTATATATATATATGTAGCATTTGTAGTTGGCTGCTGCGGACCTGCATCAAAAGCTACCTTGTCTGGTTCGATAGTAAGGATTAGATAACCGGGCAGGAACTCTGACAATAAATCAATCAAAAATCAATCACTTAACCAGAGTACAGAAGGGAATATAGATGAACCGTTAAGTGAAATAACGCGTCAGACTGACACCTGAGTTGAACTTAAATGGGAAACGACTAGCTGGGAGTGAGTCTTAGGGTGTCATGGAGGATATGATGTGGGGAGCAGAAATGAAAGCCTGTAGGAATTTTCAGAGCCATCTACAAAGAACTGAAGAAAACACTGTGAAGTGGATGTGTGCAGCTGAGGTCCTATGTTCGATTCGGAACCTAAGGGAAAAATAGTGGTGATATTGTATGATGTACTGTGGATAAATCTTTTAAATAATTTTGAGTATAAGATATTCTTATTTGTAGACAACATTATCTGTCTGTCCATCAAAACTTACATAAATTATACTATCAGGCATAACAGAGTAATTTGGAATTCATTGAAATGCCTTAGTGCTATTATAATTATTAAGAAATTCAGATCAAAACGTCTTCATCTTGTGTTTATCTTTCCATTACATTCCTTCACGTTCCTGGTGGAACACAGAGTTTCAAGCCTAAGCTTCGAAGTTTCAACAGCGCTGTTAATGTTTTCGCAAGGTAGGCTTACTATCCTCATACTTAACCTGTCTTTTTCTCCGGGCTCACTACTCACCGGTAGTAAACTAGGCGAGGTTAAGGTGCGCATCATCGGTCGGGAATCAAACACCGCACCGCCCTCCGCATGTCTGGTGGTCTTTCTGCCACTCAAACATCAACGCACACATTCAACAGTGTAAATGTTTAAAACATCATAAACATGAATCCCAGAAAAGTCAACCCTCTGTTTATTGCATTTCACTGTCAATCACTTTGATTGTGTTATGTCCATTGGTGGCTGATTGTTTTATGGAAGAGTTTGAGAACTCTTAGTTTAAGTGAATTGGCAGAAGTTAGAATTCAAGGACCATTGGATCGGGTCCCAGTGGCTTAATGGTATACGAGCTCGCTAGCCTTGTAACCGGAAGGTTCTGGGTTCGAATCCCGGTGGGTGCGTACTGCTGAAGAGTCCCAAACTAGGACGAAACAGCTGTCCAGTACTCCCAGGTTTTCCAATGGTTCTCTAACTAATGTCAGCTCATGATGAAATCCTGAACTCTTAGTTTAGTCAAACCATCGGTCATTTCGAAATTTATAGAAGATATGTAGACGACACTTTCGTTGTCTGCCATAAGAACGTAGTTTTTGATTATGTCTTGTTTGAATTCAACAACTGCCGTCTTCTTTTTTGCAATTCACCAAAGAAAAGGAATCTGAACTAAGCCTCCCCCTTCCCACGTGTGCCTTAGTAGACGCAATGACGGATCTTTCAAAAGATCCATCCACCAGAAACGTATAGTTAGGTGCCTATCTCCAGGAAAAGGAACCTAATTCATTCGCTCTGCTTTAGGATAAAAACCATTTGTAAATCTGGTTGAATTGACTTAGAACCTGACTTCCTAAAATCGACGCTCACAGAAAATGGCTATCCGAACCGATTAGTTGACAGTAACACGTAAGATAAGAAGCCCAAAATGGTCACCGACTCAGTTCGAAAGAAAACCTAATTCATGAACTTGGAATTCAAAGGTTATCCAGCTTCAGATAGGCTCAAAAATCCTCTCTCTAAAGCAGTTAGTAAGACGTTCTTTACAGAAAAATTATATATAACATTCACTAGCCACAAGTTATTCTCTACCTCTGCAAAGGATAAGCTCTCCCATCTGACCACCTGCATGTGCATCTATCAGTTTAGCTGCTCTTCTTATGGAGCAAGGTACATTGGCAGTAGCCACAGAACTCTTTCTATGCGGATACGGAAATATATTCCAGCTTGGTTTTACAAGGGAGAAAGGAAGTGTGTGTGTGTGTGTGAAGCTGTATTCTAGAATACTTGATTGACTCCTGTCACTCTAGTACTCCTGACCATGATTTTAAGACCATTTATCGAAACCGTACTAATTTGCCGCGATTTCTTCGTTATAGACTTCTAAAGACAGAGGAGGCTTTGGCCATTCATGAAATTAAGGCAGACCTTTGTGTACAAAAGAAGTATGTACAATCCTTACTTCTGCCTTCGTCGTAGAGGGATAGACATTTATTTATTTTGTTTATTTAGTTGATCTATGTACCTTTCCCTCATTACTACGATTACCATTATTATTCTCGCTCTAAATTGTTTCCGCTTGTTTCACCTGCCAGTCAAAATCCAAAGATATTTTACAATACTGAATTCTATCTTATCAAATTTCACACCATGTTATGTAACCTTTTATATTAAACACCCTTTCTGACATTTATACACCTTATGTATTATTTTACATATATATATATATATGTATACGATTTTACAGTTTGATAATAAACTCTTTGCTGAAAAGAGGCTCTTCCGTGAATTTTTTTCATGCCTCCACATTCCCAATGGAACATAGGGCTTCCAGCTGGAGCTTTGAGATTTCAGTAGCAGTGGCATTTATTTTCGCAGGATGGCGCTGCTAGCCTCACTTGGCCCAACCTTCCCTCTTTACCAGTTTTATTGCTGGCCTAGCAAGGTATAGGAGTGCATCGGTGACCGGAGATCAAACCTCGAACCACAAACGCGGTCGGCGAGCATTCTACCGATGTGCCACCAGCTGTTCGCTGAATACTGTGTTCATAATGTTACAGTGAGAATTAATAAATTATTGAAAAAATCCCTTCTGTGCTAACCTCATACATATATTTGTAATCATTATGTTAAATGCTTGCTAAATCATCCAAGCCAGCATTATTACTTTTGATTCGACCAAGCTCACACATACGCTCATACTCTCATGTCTGTGTGGAGGTCAACAGACCTACTCACCATGGAAAATAAGATCCGGATTTTCAACTCCAGTGTAAAGTCAGTGCTACTTACTCTATGGATCAAAGACTTGACGCGGCGTCACATATGGCACTTCGAACAAAAATTACAGTCTTTCATCAACAATTGTCAGATGGTCGGACGGAAAAGATCAGCAGCAGAGATCTTTGACAATGAACGAACCAACCAACCCAGCAGGAACCAACTGAGCCAGAAATATGCAGGAAGAAATCGAGGTGGATTGACCATACTCATGAAAAAACAAACCATCAAAAGACATCACAAGCCAGGCAATACACACATATGCTGTGCATCGCGTAAACACATCATTAAACTTCACATAAATCCTGCTTGTGCAGATAGCTACTGGAAGCAAATACGAAAAGTGGTTTTTCCAATATGAACACCACAAATAAATATAAGTGAAGCAATCCATGTGTAAGATACAAATTTTAAATTTAAAAAAACAACTTACCACCAGTATACGTTTTATTCCATAATGTGTACACTGGATCTTTGTGTGAATTATTCGAATCCTGTATGCGATCTTGAATAGAAAGTAAAGCGAAACAGAGGAGAATATAAGAAAATTAGCAGAATATCAATCTTTCAAATCTATTGTTATCTTCATTAAGGCAATAAATAAGATGCGGATTGTTGGTATTAGATGGTTGGAGGGAATCGGCAGAAGGCAGCCTTGAACTTAGGTTTCGAGTTAGTTGGCACTAATCAAGGTTACAAACTTTCAACAACAGCTGCCTGCATTCGCTGGCACCATCCTGAAGCTCAAATGGCCAGCCAGCCAGCCAGCCAAAAAGAATTAGCAACAAGTAAATTCTGTCTGTGAACAAACAAACAGGTGAGAGGCGATTGCTCAACAAAAATGTAAAGGAAAATTGAGATGGATGGATTGAGCATACTTTAAGAAGTCCATCGGCTAATATCGCACGCAATGCAGGGTATATCTTTAGTCAAATCCAAATGGGACGGGTGAGTGTGACATGGAAGAGATCGTGTGAGGAAGAGATGAGAGAGTTTGGTCAATCGCGTGGGTAGCTGACTGAAGAGGACGGCAGAAAACAGAAGAAAGTGGAGACAGAGTGCTGTTGAAGCCTTATGTTCCACTCGGAATGCAAGGGAATAATAATAATAATCAGTAAGGCGTATCTGCAACCTTGAAGGAACTTATGTCCCTTCTGAGAATCGAACCCGCGTCACCCAGTGCTACCTGCAATCAGAGATGTTACGACGGCTGAGCTATTCAGGCTTGCGACTGACCATCTGTAGAACTGTAGTGGATACTTTTGATTGGACACTAGTCAGTAATTAGTGCAATGTGTTTATGTCTAGTCCTATCTTTGGCGCAGACTGACTTCTATCAGTCAGGCTGATGATGTACCGACTGGCACGAAACCTAGGTGTAAAACTTCCTTGTCGCGATTGCCTGCAACCACCTAATACTGTCGATTCACAGTGCACCGTGATGGTGAGCCACCTAGTGGCATGGTGGTTGCATTGCAAGCTTGACTAATAGAATTCAGTCTGCACCAAAGATAGGACTGGACACATTACACTAGTTACAGATTAGTGTATTAAGCTGGCCCTATGATTGTTCATAGGCTGTCACCTTCTCTTCACATGATATCCTCCATGTCACCTTGCGGACCTGAGCATGAATCGTCGTCTCCCATATGGGTGACACTCAAATGACTGCTTGACACAAACTGTCACTCAGCTGTTCCCTTAGCCATATCCATTGTATTTGGCATATTTTTTTTATCATAAGGTCCTTGTTTAGTTCGTTCCCAGAGTTTCTCGTTTACTGATACTTTCTGCCTGGCCATCTGATGTTTTTTAGGTCGTGCTGCCTCCATATCTTTCAGTAGCCCAATTGCATTTTAACCTCTTCCATTGTTGTCGGAGGATTGGCACCCACTGGCAGTTCTGTGACTGTTGACATTAAATAGGACACAGAAGGAAGCAGGGATGTGCTCCTAAAACACTATTTCCCCCTAAAAACAAAATGGCCAAATGATAATATAGTAATAATAGCCTGAATCACTGGTTTCTCTTGACTAAACGCTATGGCCTAATAAGCTTTATTGGCTGGGACAAAATGTTCTATCAGGTCGTATCATCTCAGAAACGTCGCTCTACTGGTGGTTGGAGTTATCGTCATAAGTGCGAATCTGTACTACTTCGTAAGGTTTATAACAACAGAAAGTTGTTTCCATTAGACCACTACCAAGATGGATACACTGCCACCCTGCTTTGCAGAGGTAGGTTAGCATACACTGCCCCATGAAATTCCACCTTCCGAATTAGTCAGTGGTGGTTTGGAGTCTGTAGCAAAGTCTTCATATGGAAAGACATCCAATTAAAGTTGAAGAACCAATTTTAGTGCCAAATTGATGGGCTCGCTATAGTTTCACCTCGAGGATTTATTTTGGTCGATATCTTCATGGGTGGTTATCCGCGACAGACGTGACTGAGTTCTGCTATCAATGAAATAACCTAATATAACCGCTTTATCTATGATACGTTTGTTGAATGTAACGACATGAATCAGCCATCTATATTATACAGCTGCCTTAAAGAGATCCACCGAAATATTAAGTTTATCGTGGAATAAGAACACAACAATAAGTTCAATTTCCAGAGCCTTAATGTACGAAAAGGAAACAATGGTAAGGACGAAAAATCAATCTACAGAAAAGAAACCTGGACTTCATCCCGACAGTTTCTGTCCTATAATGTATAAACGTGGATAAGTAAGGATACTGTACGATGAAGTCAGAACGTTATGTTCCCGGAACAATGTAGAAGAAAAATTAAGCCTTACTGAAAAAATGTCTAGGAGAAAAAAGATCTCTAAAGGAATTTCTGCCAAAGTACCGCAAATAAGTGGACGAGAAAACGAAACATCCAACTGTTGAGAAGTAGAAAATGTTCATTTGTCTCACATTCAAAATAGAAGCTGTATTAAAAAAAAACGATTAACATGAGAATGAAAGGAGCTATGAAAAGATGCTGGTAACTCTATTCATCACTCTATAACCTTCAACTGAGTTTATAAATTTACGCGTATTTGTTAAGGTAAGTGCCCTGAAAGAACAAAAAGAAGGTAAAGCCTAATATCCACCCTTCAGGGAATATCCCGAAAAACTTATATCTAAAACAAGTTGTCTAAATCCTTCAAAACGGCAAACATAAAATGGACAGTAAATTTACTACGATTTGCTAAAGCAATTACAGTCAAGTGTTTCAAATCAAACTTATGCACGGAAGAAGAGTGTAGTCATTCTCTCACTCCCTTAGCAACCGCATTCTGATTACACTGATTATATTAGTATAATTATAATATTATTATTATTCCCTTGCATTCCGAGTGGAACATAAGGCTTCAACAGCACTCTGTCTCCACTTTCTTCTGTTTTCTGCCGTCCTATTCAGTCAGCTAGTCACACAAATGACCAAACTCTGTCATCCCTTCCTCACACAATGTCCTCCATGTCACCCCCACACCTATGACACTCTCGTCGATTCCCACGTGAGCAATGACCTGCATTGCGTGCAATATCATTTGGCGGCTTCCTCAATGTATGCCTAATCCATTGCCATTTTCCCCTGCATATTTGTCAAGCGATCGGCTCTCTCTCTCTCCTGTTGGTTAGTTCCCGTAGTCTTTTGTTGCTTATTCTTTCTAGGTTGGCCATTTTAGCCTCAGTATGAAGCCAGAGAAGGTGGTAGCTCTTGATGGAAGTCAGCCACTATCTGTTGGATTTCCTTTTCGTGACACGCTGACCGAGTTTCTGACCTGTACAGAAGAACTGACTGACCGACTTCATATTGTTGCTGAAAATGCAAATCATTTTCTTTATGCTGAGTCAGTGAGGGAGATTTTCAAACTGGTTTCAGTTTAATGAAGGCCTGCATATCTTGCCTTAGTCATGCATATTAGAGATTTCAGCTGACTGAGCAAGTTTCCAGTTTTTATGAACTATAGCCTTTTTGAGTTGTTCTGTAAACCTACAGGCTAACACTCCTTGTTTATTAGATTTCTGTTATTTTCTGTCCTTTCCTCTCCTCCACGATATCCTTTCCTACTTTGAAATCACACAAATTGATGGTAACCATTGTAACTTCAGGTGGTTTACAGCTGATGATGAGAACCCATTAAAATAGCATGATGAGATTATTTTATGCTGAGAATCTGGTCTTTCTTTCTTTCGTTCCTTCTTTAAAGTAATTTATCAAGGGTAGCAAATGTATGAAATCCTCATAAGCACATGACTCTCCAAACGTTATTTCAAATAGGTTGTATGTGACAGTCTCCTGAAGTGTATGCCCTTTAGGGCTTTGAGGTCAACCGTTATTGATGCCTTTTTTTCTTTCCATGCATTTCGAGACGAAATCAACTTCGCTGATGTAAGCATCTGAGAAGTAGTAATTCACAGCATACAATATTCCATAAGTATAAAAAGAAATTATTAATATTATTGTTCCCTTAGGTTCCTAGTGGAACATAAGGCTTCACCTGAACGTTTTCACTTGCTTCTGTCTTCTACTGTTATTTCCACCTGCATCCATGTTAGTCCACACTCCTTCAAATCCCCTTCACACGATCTCCCCCATGTCACCCTTGCATTGACGTCCCAGTGGCGTCTTCCCTTTCGGGCTTCGCTCGAGCAAAAGCCTGACGCGCGCGCGATGTCACCCAGCGGCCTCCTCAGCAAGCGATTGTCCAAACCATCTCCACTTTCCTCTGTATATTTGTTGGTTGGCGATTGGTTTGATCCTGTTTTGTTTGTCCCTGTAGTTTCTTGTTGGTGATTTTTTCCGGCCCCGCCATCTGATCTTCAGTATAGAAGAGCTGACTAATTTGACGTTTGTACTGAAAATCCGACCGAATTTTGTTGTTGATGCTGAGTGACGAAGATTTCCAGGTTGATGAATGAGTTTCTCGCCTTCCCGATTCTCGCTCGATTTAATATTCTCGTCCGTTCCGACTGCCTGTAGTTGAGACAATGCTCGCTAGATAAGTGAACGAAGTAACCTCTTTCGAATTCCTCCCATTGATGGCGATTGGCGCTGGATGTTGCTGCTGTTGTTGTCGGTTGGTTATTTTCATCACCTCCACCTTGTCTATGTTTACCTGGAGTCCTGTCTTCTCCGGCTGCTTCTTCGACCAGTTTGTCGGTCGGTTTTCGCTTGTAAGTCTTCGATTTCGCGTGACATCAAATATAAATCATCCACACACGAAATCCAGGTCTTCTAGGTTCTTCACGTCGGTCCAGGATATTCCTGTCTTCTCGTTTCCCACTGTCTGGCGCATAATCCAGTCCACCACCAGAATTAGGAATATCATTGGTGATAATAAGCCAGCACCCTTGTCTGACTCCTGTGTTTACTCCAAACGGCTCGCTGAGTTTTCCGTTGTGGATGACTTGACATGTTACGTTGTCGTACAGCTGTTCAATAAGGTTGATGAATATTTGGAGTACGCCGTAGTATTCGAGTAGTTTCCTAATTACTTCATGGTCAACA